TCCCATGGGAATTCCCCAGGGATTTCTGGAGCTGGGGCCTCTTCCCCAGGGGTGCTCAGGGCTGGGGCTCCTCCAGCACCTGCCACAGCCCAGTGTCCCCAGCACAACTCAAATATCTTGGACTGGTTTAGGTTGGAGGGACCTGAAAGATCATCCAGTCCCACCCCCCATGGGCAGGGACACCTCCCAGCAGCCCAGGCTGCTCCAAGCCCCATCCAACCTGCCCTTCAACACCCCCAGGGATGGGGCAGCCACAGCTTCCCTGGCCAACCTGGCCCAGGCTCTCCCCACCCTCACACTCCACAATTCCCTCCTCAGCTCCAACCTCCAGCTCCCTCTCCCACTTTTCATCCCTCCCCCTCATCCCATCCCTCCCTGCCCTTGGCCCAAGTCCCTCCCCAGCTTTCCTGGAGCCCCTTCAGGCCCTGGAAGCTGCTCTAAGGTCTCCCTGGAGCCTTCTCCTCTCCAGGACATGACACTTCTGACATACATGATGGATCATACTTTACCAGCTCAACCCACCAGTTCCCTCAGGACACACCTCCCCAGGTCCCACAGACGTGGGGCTCAGAGCAGAGACACCCAACCCCAGACAACTTCTCTTCACCCCCATGTCCCACCACCCCCCCCCCAGCTCAAGGGCCCAGCCTGGCTCTGCTGGGACCTTCATCCCTCACCTCATTCCAGGGACACGGAAACGTTTTGCAGCAGCTTCACCCCTCAGGGAACCTCCAGTGCTGGGAACATCCAGGTGGGCAGCCCAAAGCTTCCCAAAGCCTCCCAAAGCTCCAGCTCCTTCCAGGGACACCATCTCAGGCACCAACCAGTGCCCGTCTCCACGGTCCCGGCCGGGTGGGAACAGTGGTGGGAAGGTTGGGATGAGGGGGTGAGGAATCCCAGCCTGGAAACATTGTGCTGGGAACAAAAGCCCAGTGTTGGCTCCGGGGTTTCCACCCACCAGCACGGAATTCTCAGCTGCTGCCACCAACGGGCTGGTGACTGGGGATGATGGTGCCACCAGGGCCACCATTCAGCCCAAATATCAGCACCACGGTGGGTCCCTGAGCTGAGCCACCATTGCCACCCTGTCCTCTGCAGAAACGCACCCCCAAGCCCTCCCCAAACCCTCCGAGCTCCTGAGGCCACCCCAGAGCCTCCCAGTAACTCTGCTGAGCACCCCAGCACACCCTAGAGCTCTTCAGGACCCCCCAGAACCCCCTGAGACCCTCCCAGTAACCCTGCTGAGCACCCCAGCACACCCTAGAGCTCTTCAGGACCCCCCAGAACCCCCTGAGACCCTCCCAGTAACCCTGCTGAGCACCCCAGCACACCCTAGAGCTCTTCAGGACCCCCCAGAACCCCCTGAGACCCTCCCAGTAACCCTGCTGAGCACCCCAGCACACCCTAGAGCTCTTCGGGACCCCCCAGAACCCCCTGAGACCCTCCCAGTAACCCTGCTGAGCACCCCAGCACACCCTAGAGCTCTTCAGGACCCCCCAGCACCCCCTGAGAAACCTCCCCGTTCCCAGTAACCCTGCTGAGCACCCCAGCACACCCTAGAGCTCTTCAGGACCCCCCAGAACCCCCTTGAGACCCTCCCAGTAACCCTGCTGAGCACCCCAGGACCCCCAAGAGCCCCTTGACACCTCCACCCACCCTGTGAGAAACCTCCCCATGTCCCCAGCTCCTTCCCAGTTCCCTCCCAGTTTGTGTTACGTCCAGATGTTCGTTTCCTTCCCACTTGGTTCCATGAGGTTCCTGACCCCATCAGCTCTTCTCTGCTTGCTGGTTTTGGTGAGGATACGAGGGGTTTTGGTCCTTTTCCAAGGGCAGAGCTGGAGCCACAGGAGCTCGTTGGTCCTCAGAGATCTCGGGCAGTCGGTGTCTCCAGTCTATAAGGTTTGTAGGAGGCAAAAGGGTTAAAACCCCCACCACCACCACCAGTAACCTACCTGGAGAGCTGGGAAGGGCAACCAGCTGTGGACATCGAGTGTCACCTCGGAGCTGGGGACTTCTCCAGTTCCTCCACCTCCCCCAAGGTGGCAGTGGCTCCCCAGCCCGGCGCCCGCGGACAAACCCTTCCCTGGGATGTTCCCCTGAAACAAAACAGAACGAGGGGTTTGGTTTCTGAAGCCTGTGGGACACCCTGGAGGTGGTGAAGGGAGGTGGTGAAGCCAAAGGTTTCACGGGAGAAGCTTCTTCCTTGGGAGGGGTTTTGTTGTCCCTGTTGGGAACCTGCTGGTGGTGGCTGGAGATGTTGGGTGTGATGGAGCTGAAGCTCCTCCAGCTTTTTGGTTTGGGCATCGTCACCTGGAGCACTGACATCAAACCTCTCACCACGGGGATCAGCTCCTTTCTCTTCCCAGATGGTCCAAAACCTCCATTCCCAAACTTCTGGGCATCGTTTGGAGAGAAACATCCCTCGGTGGGAGGTTCTGGGAGGTCCTCAGGGTGGGTGCCAGGGAGGGAAAGTCTCCCCTTGGAATTCTTTCCACCACCCCTTCAGAAACCAAACTTGGGATTTTGGGAGAGCAAAAATCAATCGTTTATTGTTGAAAGAGATTCTGCAAATTCCATCAACGTGACACGAGATCCACCTCACAGGAGCAGGACCCAACCCTCAGGTGCAGAGCAGGTCCCACCATCTCTCTTCGAACCATCAATATCATAGTTTTACTCTGAAAAAGCCCCCTTTTTTTTCCCCCCCAAAAAAAGAAGTCACTTGGAGCCTGTAAATCATGTTCCCACATCCTCCCATGGAAAGGTCTCCCTCCCACCCCACGGGACGGGCTGAGCCAACTGAGGGACGTTGAGCCAGAAAATGATTCTCGAAGCCAATGGATCCATGTGAGGGTTGGTGGCTTCACCAGAGCCCTTGCCCAGAGGTTGTGGTGAAGCCATCAACGCTCCAGAGCTTCTGGGTCCATCTAGATGAGGGGGTAAGAGGCGTAACTGGCGATGCCACAGTGGTTCTCCTGGTTCCTCACCATGCGGATGTAGCCTTCATCCCCAAAGTGCACACCCCAGCTTTTGGGAGAGGGAACAAGGAGACAGAGAAGGAGGAAAATTAAATCCCCCCTTTTTTTTTTTTCTCCATGAGCTGGAGAGGACACGGGTGGTGGGTTTGGTGGTGGATGGTCAAGCCTGTACCTGTTCTTCACCAGCCAGTAGTCCTTGTTGTCCAAGGTGCCGTAGCCGACGGCCAACACGCCGTGGTTCACCTCCTGGGAGCACCGGGGGTCATCGTACACCCCTGGGCAGGAGAGGGAGTGGGGACACGTGTCATCAGGCTCAGCTGGGAGCCAACATCAACCCTCAGCAGTGTCACTGCTGCAGGTTTTGCCACATTCATGAACCATAGAATGGGTTGGGTTGGAAGGACCTGAAAGATCATCTAGATCCAACCCCCTGCATGGGCAGGGACACCTCCCACCAGCCCAGGCTGCTCCAAAACCCACAGTAAATCCTTGGACACTTCCAGGGATGGAGCAGCCACCTTTAAGATCATTTAATAGATCATCTGGGTGATCTTTAAGGTCCCTTCCAATCCAAACCATTCCATGAGTTAAAGCTCATCCAGATCCAACCCCCTGCATGGGCAGGGACACCTCCCAGCAGCCCAGGCTGCTCCAAGCCCCATCCAACCTGCCCTTCAACACCCCCAGGGATGGGGCAGCCACAGCTTCCCTGGGCAACCTGGCCCAGGCTCTCCCCACCCTCACACTCCACAATTCCCTCCTCAGCTCCAACCTCCAGCTCCCTCTCCCAGTTCAAATCCACATTAACACCTCCAGCCTGGAATTAACCCCCAACTTGCCCAAATTCCCCCAGGTTCCCTAAGCAGAAAGACCCAGAAGGCCACGAGGAAGATCTCCAGGGTGAAAGGACGTACCTGACCTGTACAAGAAGAAGGTGGGTTGGGTGGCATCGATGGCAACAGAGACAGGTCCAACGTTGGCCACCGCGTCCTTCAGGGCCTCCTCGTCGGCGTAGGGCAGCTCCACGTACCTGGAGCAGGTGGCAGCCCGGGCAGACACGTTGTACTGGCAGGTCCCGTTCTGGTGGGAACAAGAGGGGAGTTGAGGAGCCTGAGGAATCCACCAGGAGCATCTCCAGACCTTCAGGTACATGTTTTCTATCAGCCCTTTTCCACCCCACCCCTCATGTTTCCTTTGACCAACGTTTTCCTACACGTGGGGCTCCATGGAAAGTGGTTGGAAGGACCTGGAGAACCTCAACTCCCCCCACAATGGCAGCCAAACCATTTCAACAGGATCTTCTGCCTTTTTTCTAGAACCCTCTGAGGACAACAGCCCCAGCACTTCCCTAGAGAAACAGTTCTCACTTCCTCATCCTCCCCACCCCAAGATGTTTAACCCATTTTTCATCTCTTTGCTGAAGCTGCAGGTTTGGGGACTTCTGATCCACTTTTCTGTCTTGGATGGAGCTGTGGTTCCTTCCACCCCTTTCCACAGACCATGTCTCCAGGACCCTGGGTCACTTTGGGCATCTCTCATCCTCAGCCATCAAGAGGATCTTTATTTTCTGATGGTTCTTCCCTCACGACCTCCCCCCCAGTGCTCAGAGAGCTTCTCTTTGGGGCAACTTTTGAGAAAACCAAGAGTCTGAACTTCATCCACCGTTCCCTCTGCCCACCAGGATGGCAGAAACACCAACATCCTGTTTTCCAGAAGATGGAACAACAGGGAGAGCCAAGAGCAGGGCCCAGGATTCCTGCCCCATTTTTCCCTGCCATGGAGGACGTTGCCCAATGGTTGACGTAGAACTAAACATGTGGAAATTCTGGTTCCCAGCCCAGTCATTCACCTACTGGGGGGGGGGAAACAAAAGTTTAAAGGTCCTTTCCCTGGGCCTGAAAGAATCAGCTGCAAAGGCTGAGAAGGTAACACGAGGCTGGTGGAAACCAGGAGAAGGGAATCAGTGGGAGAGGACAAGGGTGTCCGGGCAGGGGAGGAGAATGAATCCCCACATGGTTTCCATCCTCATGTGTTTCTCTGCAGGTTCCACATATTTCTCTGCAGGTTCCACAGGCTGTGGAGCTCTGAGACCCACCTGAGCCTTGTAGGGGTAGGACTCATCCGAGTCGATGCCTTCGTTGTCAATGATGTACTGGAAAGCATTGGTCATGAAGCCCCCACTGCAGCCCTTGTTCCCGTACATGGTGGAACAGTCAACCAGGTTCTGGGGGCTGAGGGACACCAGCTTCCCAGTCTTCAGCTTCACCTGGGCTTCCAGGGCTCCCACAGCACTGAAGGCCCAGCACGAGCCACACGAACCCTGTGAAAAGCCCCCAGAGATGTTCAGGTGCTCCCCCGTGGAGCCAAGACCTGGAGAGGACCCAGAGAGAACTTCTCACCTGGTTCTTCACCTCGGTGACACATCCCTTCTCCCTCCAGTCCATGGTGTCTGGGACGGGGCTGCCCGGCTGCCGTGGGTGCTGGGAGGTCACCTTCAGCTGAGGAGAAACCTTCAGCCCTGTGAGCAGAGCCTCAACTTCCTCCCTGGTCTGGTGGGAAGAGAAAGGAAAAAGAAAAGACAAAGAGTTGGGGTGTTGAGCCTGGAGAGGAGAAGGCTCCAGGGAGACCTTAGAGCAGCTTCCAGGGCCTGAAGGGGCTCCAGGAAAGCTGGGGAGGGACTTGGGCCAAGGGCAGGGAGGGATGGGATGAGGGGGAGGGATGAAAAGTGGGAGAGGGAGCTGGAGGTTGGAGCTGAGGAGGGAATTGTGGAGTGTGAGGGTGGGGAGAGCCTGGGCCAGGTTGGCCAGGGAAGCTGTGGCTGCCCCATCCCTGGGGGTGTTGAAGGGCAGGTTGGATGGGGCTTGGAGCAGCCTGGGCTGCTGGGAGGTGTCCCTGCCCATGGGGGGGTTGGACCTGGATGCTCTTTCAGGTCCCTTCAACCCAACCCATCCCATGATGTCCTTGTCTCTCAGGAGTCCTACCCTGGGTGTGAGGCAGGTGGGACACTCTGAGCTCCAGGAATCAGCAGGTTTGGGGAATCTTTGGCTGGTTCTTTTTCTACACCTACATTCCAGCCTTTCACCAGGAAGGGCAGGAAAAAGGACACACGAAGCTCAACCCAACATCCCTCCAAGCTGCTGTTGCCCAACACCACAACCCTGGGACAGCAGAGAGGGACAGTTTGCAAACATCTCTAATGATGGGGTCCAGGTCCCACACCCAAGTGCCACCTTCAGGAGCTGTTCCCTCACAAACCCAGGGACACTGGAGCAGTTTGTCCATGGGGGCTGGAGGCCACGAACAGAAGATGGGCTGGGGAGGGTTCCTGGCTGGTTTCCCACCCCTGACCCACTTCTATTCCTTGTTAACTCGACTTTGTTGGTAATTAAAGGCCCTGACCAACCCCTCCTGGGCAGTACCTACCATGTCTGCCAGGTGGTTCATGCCCAGCTGGTAGGAGTGGAGCCCCAGGGACTGCTCCAGGTTGTGCAGCGTCACCAGCCGCAGGTTCTTCTCCCAGATGACGCGCCGGTTCCCCTCCTCCACCTGAAACCAAACCCAACCTCCTGGGTTCACCCCATCCCACCCCTCAAACAGGTGCTTAGGAGCCCCCCACCAAACCACCCCTCCTGGGAACCAAGGTCTTCTCCCCACTGCAGTGGTTGGTCACACCAGAGCAGCACCCACCGTGGTGCCACCACCACCTGGGGGCCCTTGATGGCCCTTTCCAACCTGGGATCCCACAATTCAACCCAAAGCAGCAGGGTTGGAGTTGGAAGGGACCTTGGTGGGAAGGGACCTTGGTTGGAAGGGACCTTGGTTGGAAGGGACCTTGGTGGGAAGGGACCTTGGTTGGAAGGGACCTTGGTGGGAAGGGACCTTGGTTGGAAGGGACCTTGGTGGGAAGGGACCTTGGTTGGAAGGGACCTTGGTGGGAAGAGGCTTTGGTTGGAAAGGACCTTGGTTGGGAGGGACCTTGGTTGGGAGGGACCTTGGTTGGGAGCCCAGCACCCCGTTCCCCGGGATCCCGGTACCTCGTGGCGATATTCCTTGCCATAGGTTTTCTTCCAGAGCTTCCAGTGCCAGTCCAGAGCAGGGTCAGGGTGTCCCAGTGCCACCACGGCCAGGAAGGTGACAGAAACCAGCAGCTTCATCCCGCTCCACTGGGATCAGCAGTGGGAGCAACACGGACACCGGGAGCCCAGGGCTGGGAGCTGGAGCCGCGCTTGACCCCTTGGTGACAAATCCAGTTGGGTAAGGGAGGCAGGAGGGTGATGACATCCCTGCCCAGGACACCCTGACGTGCCCTGGACGGGGTTTCCACACCAGGTGATGCCACCAGCTCCTGCCTGGACACGCAGCCCGTGGTGGCACCACCAGCCCCCACCTCCTGCTGCCCCCCTGGCGCGCTGGGAAGGGGAACAAATCCCAGCCAGGAGTGGGAAACGTCCCTCCAGGGTGGGGGGGGGAAAGTCTTTGAGCCCCAACCCCTGCCCATGAGGGCACTGACAGGCAGGGACACATCCAGACAGGGTCCCACCTGCCCAGGTAACCCCCCTCAGAAGGTGGGTGACACGAGGCTGAGCAGCTGCTTGGAAACCCCTCTGTTTTCCAACCCCTTCAAAAGCAGAATCGTTCCTGTTTGGACCCCACCCGTGTCCCCCAGCCCCCGGGACGGGCTCCCCCCTGCAGCCCGGACCCCCCTGGGGGGGTC